TCTCTTTGCTGCTGCATGATTTTGGGGGCATTATTTTTTTTTTTTTTTTTGAGACAGGGTTTCCCTATGCAGTTGAGGCTGGCCTTGAGCTCACTTTACAGCCCAGGCTAACCTCTCTCGAGTGTGTACTACCACACCAGGGATTTATTAAATTTACTTAATTTTATTCTTGTGGTGCTGGGGACGTAATTTAGAGCCCTGCACATCCCAGATACTCTACCATCAAGCGATAGCTCAAATGCCATTAGTTCTGCGCCCTGCTGCGCCATGTGTGGTGACAGGACTCACACGCAGCCACCAGCCCTCTGCCCTCATTCGCCTGCTCCATGTAGTTTCCTTCTCCCTTCCTGTTTACTGGTGTTTCTGCCTGCATTTACCTCCAGCCCTGCCTGGATTTGCGGGGCCTTCTTCCAGCCCGTCTTCAGCCTGCACCACCAGCTCCAGCCTTTCTGGCTGACTGGCCCGTTTCTTCCACTCCCATTGTTACCACTTGCCTGCCTGTGCTAGAACTGGTTCTCTATTCTGGGCAGAGTCATCCCAGCACTCCTGAGGCAGGAGGATCAACACAAGTTCAAGGCCAGCCTGGGCAAGAGAGAGTTTTAGGCCAGCCGGAAAGACAGTGTCAGAAAAACAAACAGAAACTGCTTCTTTGTGGAGGTCGTTTCCCAATTGCTACTGTGCCTCCTCTCTGTGGTGTAATTGTTTATGCCTGGCTGCCCAAATTTTACAGACTGGCCAGTTTTCCCCCGTTACAGGGTACAGTGGAGAGGAGTGTGAAGAGTTTAAAGCCTTTTACCAGCAGAGCATTTGAACTATTTCACCTGCTAAGCTCAGAATTCCCGAGTTTGGCTTGGGTTTGAAGGTCCAAGTTTATTCCCCACTTGTCCTGCTTAGAGCTCACTGTAGACACTGGACCACTCTGGGGGCTTCACCACCTTATCCCTGCGTCCTCCTGGGTCTCTCCCTTCCTTCAGCTCACTGAATACACACTTTGTTGCTTTCTTTCCTGTTTTCCTTTGCTACTGAGGACTGAGCTCAGCCTTTTTATTTTTAAATTTTGGATCTTACTAAATTGCCGAAGCTGGGCTTGAATTTTGGATCCTTCTGCCTCAGCCTCCCACAGTCCCGAGATCACAGGAATGTGCCACCAGCCAGGCTTGCTCTCCCCTTTTTCACTGTCTTCACTGTTCAGATGAAATTCCAGGCAATCCCTAGAAATAGGGCTTTTGTAATACAAAGTTTATTGAAGTTTACTATGCTCTAAGCACTCCTCTGCTTTGAATGTGTTCTTTTTCTCAAACCCAGGTGCATACTTTCAACACCATTTTATAGGCAGGTTAAGTAACTTGCCCAAGGCAGACTCTAACAGGCCAGCAGGCCTCACTCTGGAATGGGGTGCCCGGCTGCCCCCACAGGTGAAGTGTGTGGCAGCCTTAGCTGCAGACTCACAGCCCAGCCCTGGGCTCCGGCGCGGGTGTTCTGTGGGGAATTTCAAATGTGTACTGTGGCTACTTCTCCAACACAGAGTTTAACTGTTGCTATCTATCTGTCGTGCAGTACCTGGGAGTCGAACTTCTTTGGCTCCTGCCCATAGAGAATCTTCCTCCTGGGGTTCTGCCTGGGCCCAGCAGCTGAGGACATAAGGCTGAAGAGGCCATTCTCACTCCTGAGGACAAAGTGTGGCCCTCAGACCTTTTGGGGGGCGTTTGAAGACAATGCAGTTTTTCTGGGGTGAGAACCAGAAACCTGCCATTTTAATACCCGGCTATCCTTTGCCTGGGGTCAGCGGGTCCTGCCTTCAAGGCCACCCCATTTAGGTGGCATTATTTCCTGATAGGAGTCCCCACACAGCTGAAGATGTAAGAAATGCCTTTTGTTCCGGGATACACTGCTTGACAGGTGTAATAACATCCTCTGACAGGCCGCCTGCCACAGGTGCATGCTCGCCACGTGTGTCGCCCGCCTGCTACCATCCCCCACCCCTCCAGCCACACAACCCAGACCCTCTGTCCACCACCACCCTGCAGCTGTTGTCCTTCCTCCCACCCCTCGCCTTTACCCCCTGCCCCTCTCTAGGGTCCTCCCACCTCAAAGAGGATTTTATGGTGCCGGCTAAGTTTTCCTTGCCCCATGGAGGTAGAGGACACTGGCTAGACGGAGATGGCTCTCCATTCATTAGATCCTACCGAATGGCTCCTCTTCCCCACCTTATGCTTCCTACCAGAGAAACGGGCAGAGGCCCCTTCTCTGCAACTTGGGGGATCGTCCTAGGAAGAGCGCCTCTGTCTCTATAACATCCCCAAACGGGGTGCTGAGTTCCTTTGTTGGGGGCAGAAGGAATGGATTCTTACCGATAAGGTAGCAATGAGCTTCAGAGACCGCCAACAGGCCCACCCTTCTCCCTCTACCCTCCGAGCACTTAACACTAAAAGGGAAGGAGAAAAAAAAGCACAAACAAAGAGTTTAAGATAGTAATTCCCAGCTTTTTCAAATATGAAGCATTTTTTAACCAATCCATTTTAATTCTTAAATTCTTGACATTACAGAACTAAACTGAAATTAACATTCCACTCTTACATTTCTTATCGACAAACAGAAATAAAATCCATGAGCCAAAAAACCCAAAACAAACTAAAAACAGGGAAAAGCTTATAAAACTAAATATGGATCCCAGCATTAACAGCTGAACAGAGAATGTGATTTTTCTTAAATTCTTAGCAGATGATAAGGTGTAGAAACTGAACACTTACAAATTATTTAAAACCTGGAATCACTGACCAGAAATTACACAGTTGGATCATGGGAAAACAGCAGAAGAGGGTTATGAGCGAACCTACACTGTTCTAGCTGCACCCCATGCCCTTCTCAGAGGAAAGCCTGGCATTGATTAGATATTGGGCCAGACTAATGCTGGCAGCCGAGCCAGTAATAGTAACCTGCCTACCAGAGGAGCCTTCGACTGGGTTGGCAATTTTGATCTGGGCCCCGGACATCTGGCGGATCTCATTGATGTTGGCGCCTTGGCGCCCGATTATGCAGCCGATTAAGTTATTTGGAATGGTGAGTTCATGGGTGGTTTGAGTAGATGCATCCAAACTTGCCCAATAGCCTTTCACCTCTGGAGAGCTGGAGTCAATTCCGGCGAATCCGGTCCCGCCGTGCATCATGGCAAAGTGAGACTGTTGTCTTGCCACCTGGTTCAGCTTGGCCAGATCGAGCGGAGAAATGGTGTGTTGTCCTTGAATCGAGTAGGCGTCCAGAGGTGGTCCCTCCAGGTCATGGGTGGCGTGGGGGTAGCCCGCGGCGTCGCTGCAGCGATCTTGGCCGCCAGCGCAGATGACCGGCGAGCTGGCCGGCATGGGCTGGTACGGAATGGTCATGACTCTCCCTTGCGGAGACTGGGAGAGCGTCTCCAGCATGACCAGGCAGATCTGCTTGACACACTCGGTGACGGACTGCGGCACGCCCGCGATGGTGATGGCCCGCTCGGTCGAGTTGGGCAGCATATCCCCGGCCACCTGGACCTGGGCCCCCGTGCTCTCGCGGATCTCTTTGATCTTACAGCCGCCTTTCCCGATCAGGGAGCCGCACTGGGTGGCCGGCACCACCAGCCGCAGGGTCACCGGAGGCCTGCTAGCGGCCGTGCTGTTGGTCATGGAGCTGTTGATATCTTCCTCCAGCTTGTCGATAATCATAGCGAAGGCCTTGAAGATGGCATTGGTGGGGCCGGTGAGAGTGATGATTCTCTCCGGGCAGTTCCCCTCCGAGATGTTGATCCGCGCGCCGCTCTCCTCGCGGATTCTCTTAACCGACTCCCCTTTCTTCCCAATGATGCTTCCTACTTCCTTTCCGTGCATAAGAAGCCGAATGGTGAGAGTCACATTTAGTCCACTTTCAGTCACACCGGCATCCATGGCGAGCGGCGGGCGGCGTTCGGGGGAGTTGGGCTCGTTACGTGGTCAAGTCTTTGGCGGCTGGCGGGGGGAGGGGAGGTGTAGGCCCAAAACTGCCGGCGCGAGGCGAGCGAGGGCCGCGGGAGCGAGCGGGCGAGGGCGGGAGGCCGCGGCGTCGTCGCAGGGGCGAGCGGCGGCGGCGGAGGGGGCGAGCGGGACCGGGAGCGGCGGGCGGGCGGGTGGGCGAGGGCGCGGTGGTAGCGACTCCGGCGGCAGCCTCGGCGGTCTGGGCGGGGCGGGAAGCCCGCTTTCAACCCCGCGTACCCTCTGACCCCGGAAGTGCTTCTGCGCAGGACCCCTTGAAAAAAAATGAGGACCCGTATTTTTTAGGTCACAAGATTGCGCCAATCCCCACACGACACTTAAAAAAAAAGCCCTTTTAACATTGCAGTGGTGAAAATAAAGCACACGATAGGTGGATGCCGTGCGTCCGGCACAGCTTTGAAGTGAATGTGTATTTCATTAACTATAACGGCGCCGGCGGGCGGCTGAAAATACTAGCATTGCATATGGGAGATGCACATCGTTTTCGTGTTTTACCAAAATGATTTATACGCATAACGACATGGGCAGCTCTAGCGGTCACTGCAGGCGGCCTTTGGGACGCCGCGGATTTAAAACGTGCGCGTGAGGTAGCCAGAGCGCATGCGCCAGGGTGTGGGTGAATCGGGAGGGGCGGCTTCCATCTTCCGGGGGGGAGGGGTGGTGAGGCGCGGCCTGTCGGGCGGGTGCGCGCGCGGGCGGGCACGTGGGGGGCCCTTCGTCCCCGCCGTCCGGGCGCCCCGCACCAGCCCCCTCCCCTGTTCTGTCCCGCGCGGTAGCGGGTGAGCGCAGAGACGAAATCCACGCCACTGCCGGAGTGCTCTGCTGTTTTTTCGAAGTGCCAGAAACACCGCTATAAAAAGAATGGCGTCCATTTACATAATGCTTTGTTTGCATTTTGTGGGGTTCTGTTCGGGTAGACCTACTGAAACCCCACCTCCTGCCCTCAATGTCGTTTCAACCTCCGCAGTCTTGGCAGACATTTGAGACAGTGTTTCGGTGGACATCTCGTTTACGGGGGGGGGGGGTGCTGAGAACGATTTTTGACGGGTTACTGCGGGTTTTGCCGCGCGGTCTGCTCTCGCTCTCGCAGCTGCCTTTCGGGCCTACTCGCTCTTGGCGCAGCCGCCGCACCCGCTCTCTCCGGGGGCGGCTCCGCCATCTTGGACAGCGTTTCCTGCCGCGTCCCTCCCGCTAGGAAATGTCGCTCGAGACGCTGGCGAGGCAATTGGGGTTTTTACCCCTTGCTTTTCCTCCTTGGGCTAAATCACACTGGGGGAGAAAGTACGACGAGCAAGGCTATTAGAATCCTACAGCGAGCGGCTAACGTGGTGCTCCTCCGTCTCCCCTCTTCCTTCCCCGCGGGGGTGGCCGCCATGTTTATTGAACACAAAATGGCGACACGTGGCCTGGATGCGTCGCCAGAGGCCGGGGTCGACCCGAAAGCTCTAGAATGCGCTCCTTCTTGCCTATTCCTGTGCCGCGTGTTTTTTGAGCTCTCCAGGACCGGAGCCTGCACCAACGCCCACCCCCAAGAAGTTTAATGCTGCTTCCCTGCTCCCCTTAATTTGTAATGGAAGTGTGAATAAGTGTAAAATGCAGGCGCAGTATTGACTCTCTTCGTCTTTTTAAATTTAGTAATGGATAGTGGGGGACAGGGCTAAGGAAAAATTTTAGGTCCTCCACCTCCTATCCCCCCAGTACCAAAGCACTTAGTTTAAGGAGTGAGATGGGAAATTATTGCTTTCCTAGACCTCGGACCATGGCTCTGACTCTTCTGTATCAAGATACAGTTTTATGCAGTCTTCTAAAAGAAGTTGGCGAATGAGAGCGTGGAGACGTGTGACTTTTGCACAGGCCATCTGGCCGTTTAGCTGGTGCTTGCTTTTACAGTGTAGAAAAGGCAGGTCCTGTGTTAGGTGTCAGTCACACTGTAGTAGCTTTAATTTTTGCCACCATCCTCAAAGCAGGTGTTACCATATCTGAATCTCTTTTGTTTTTTATTTAACAGAGGAGGACCCTTAAACCTAGAGAGATGAGGTGACTAATTCAAGGTCACAGTGTTGGGAGTGGAATCCAGACCTCCTGATTTTCTTGCTGGTGAGCATGTTTTTGAGACTATTCTATAATTAAGGATTTTAGAATTTAAATGCTATTTTCAGAAGTTGGATGATCATTCAGGGTTAAGGAACTCCTCAGGTAACCCTTTGTTGGTAACCAGCCCCATTTGTATCTGGAAAATTCCTTTTTTCCCCCCCCTGATGAGTGCAACACCTGTGTGAGCGAAAATGTTACTTTATGGGGTATCTGGATGAGGACAGGAAGGTGGAAGTGAGTCAGCCCTGCCCAAAGGCTCAGGTATCTATCTTTCTGCCCTTGGCTGGGGCTCATTTGAGTCTGCCTGGCCCTGAGGAGAGTGTACAGCTCTCCCTCTGACTCATTGCTTCCTTCAGCCATTCATTTGCTTGATTCCTGCCATCCGCACCCCAATCCCTTAACCAGGAAAAATAAGTGATTTTACTTTGGCGACGCTCCATGTCTCTGTAAACATTGACGGAGTAAGATAGAGTGTTAGATAAATCATAGTCCACGGACTCGTCAGTGTGGCACAGAGCTAGTGGGCGTGGTGACAGATCGGAACCTTAACAGCTCTGCTCCTGTGGGTAGTATCAGAGATGGAGAGGGCTTTGTGCTCTTCACTTACAGTCATGTATCAGATTTCCCAAAGTGCGTTCACATTATTTTATGTAACTCGGCAAACGGTTTTAAGAGATACGTCCAGAACAGCAAGGATGGCGGTAATCGCACTAAGTTTTTAGAGTGCAGTAGGACTGTTCTAAATGTTATTGTGATTTACTTAAGTAGTTCACATTTTTAAAAGCAAATTGCTGTAAGAAATTTCACATTATGATTGAGACATACAACTTTTTTTTTTGGTGCCGGGGATCAAACTCAGGATCTCGCACTTACCAGGCAGACACTTGTGCCGCTGAGCTAAACTCCCAGCCCCTAATATAACATTTTTTGTAAAATTTTACTTATCAGTACATATCACTACTTATCACTACATGCGTTGTACTTCGGAATTTTCTGTTTACTTCTCTGTGTTAAAAGAAAAAGGGGACCATTTTAACTAATGGGATATGAAATGGAATCTTGCTATGTAGTTCAGGTTAGCTTTGAACTGACTTTGTAACCCAGGCTGGCCTTGAACTCATGGCAATCCTCTCCCTCAGCCTCCTGGTGCTGGGTCATAGGTAGGTGTCACCATGTCCAGGTCAGGTGAAGGAATTTGAGATCATGTAAAATGGTAAAGTAAGGACTTGTATGTAGGCAATCTGAATCCACAGACTGCATACTTAACAGCTAAGATAGATGTGGTCTCTGCAGAGGCCCTTGTTACTTAGAGAAATAGAGTAAAATAGAGACTTCAAAGTATTGGTAAGCTGGGGATTTAGCTTAGTGGCATAAACATCTGCCTAGCAAGTGCGAAGTCATGAGTTCGATCCCTGGTACAAAAAAAAAAGTAAATAAAAAAATTAGTAAATACTAAAAATTCAAGAGACAGCAGAACTCAGTTGCATATAATTGAGAGGTAGCCTAATTCAAAGCATTCTGGTTCTCTAACTCTGCTACTTTTTTTTTCCTTTCCTTAAAGAAAATTTATCAAAAAAAAAAAAGAAAGAAAATTTATCAATCAGGTCTTTCTATTTTAATTGTCTTTTGCCTATTGTTTCCTTATTTTCCTCTTATCTGAGTACCTCCAGGCCTCAGTATAGTTCTGTAGTGAAGTCTTCCCTTTCCCAGCTTCTCCAGCTTTCAGCCCCTCTTCTTACCTCCTGTATCCCTTCTATAGTGGTCCACATTTTGCTGCTGATTAATTTGTACAGTGATATATCTTGGTGTTGAAATGTGCTATACAGGTCATAAGTGCCTTGGATAATCTGGTAAAGAAGGCCCCAGACTTTGGAATGCTAGTCCCTAACCCCAGCTCTGTGACTAGCTCTGAGAGTAGCTCTGAGATGTCTTTAATTTATGTATCTAGGCTCAATTTTCCCATCATGAAACAAAATATTACACGATGTGTAAGCCCTTCTGTAATTCTGTCTAGAAGGTAATATTGTTCTATGACCTTGGTTATTTATCCTTGGGGAATGGGGTCATGTAAACATTTTATTCACTTTGGCAAATTCTGTACTCCCTTTCGCAGACTGCATTATCTTGTGAATTCCACACCACTCATTTTATGGATGAAACCCCTAAGATACGGAACAGTGAACTGAATAGTCACCACCCCACCCCTGGAGTCTCACACATGACTCTTCTATTCAAGTGACCACAGGTTGGTAAAGGGGTTTAACAAGACAAGGAAGGTGAGTCAGGCTTAGATTTTGGCAATTGAACCCCTGGATTTATACTCCAGAAGACTGATTTTTGTTTCCTGTTATTGTTACAGTAGTATGTTATATAAAATCTTTCAAAATGATTTTATATTACTGGCTTAATCATTTCAGATGATTTTGTCAGTAAGCTATTATTACCAGTTTACAGGAGAACCATCTTTGGATAAGAGGAATGCCATGACTTGCTCAAGATTGCACAATTTTTCAGGACGTGGGCTGTCTTTTGATTCCTAGTTGTGGATTGTTTCTTTTCTGGACTTAGATTCCATGGACTTTGACATGTGGAATGACTTTACCCTAAACTTTTTTTTTTTTTTTTTTTTTTGGAGACAGGACCTTTCTATGTGGTTTAGGCTGGTCTTGAACTCACTATATAGCACAGCCTGGCCTCAAACTCAGCTATCTTCCTGTGCCAACCTCTCCTGAGTGCTGGGATCATGATATGTGCCCCCATGCCTGGTATATATTAAACTTAAAATGGTTCCTAACCAGTGTTTGTTTTTCTTTTCCAGGCATATATTCAACTTACCTTAGGCTCCTCTCTAGTTTAAGAGAATCTTTTCTCCCTTGTTCCCTAATGTTCATGAGTTTGGGATGGAATGGGAATGATTCCTCAGTGAGACTCTTAAATTTTCCAAGAGTAGGGAGCACATTTCTTTTCTCTAACCTACCTGGCTGACAAGTGTATTATAGCTATTTAAATTTACTCTACTAAGCCGGGCGTGGTGGCTCATGCCTGTAATTCCAGTACTCAGGAGGCTGAGGTGGGAGGATTGTTGCGAGTTCGAGACCAGCCTGGGCTACAAAGTGAGCTCAAGGCCAGCCTGAACTGCATAGCGAGACCCCGTCTCAAAAAAAGACAAAAAAAATTTTTTTTCCCTCTACTAATGTGCAGCTTTTTTTATTTTTTAAATATTTTTTTTGTTTTTACAAAATATGCCTTCACTTTTTTTCTCCCCTTTCAGATTTTTCTGCCTAGTTTTCTTTTATTTAAAATAATAGCAAGTTGATGGCCTTTTTCCTATTAAATCGAAGGCCACTACAGCCTAGAAACATATTTTAAGTATTTTGGAGATAGTAACAAGTTGTCCTCATTTCCTGGTAACCCTGTACTGCTGTTAGAGGGTCACTTACCAGCTTCCTGAGAAGCAAAGAAAATATGTTGGTGTAGTTTCAGAAGTAACCAGGAGATACAGCAACATCCTTGGCCATTGAACAAAGCAATACCCATGGGCCTGTGCTACTGCCTGCAGTAAGGTGAGCAAAAGATGGCAAAGGAAGTTAAAAGAAAGAAAGCAAGAAGAGTACAAATGAAAAGTATGGAAAGTGACGAAGGAAAAAATAATAAGAAAAGGAACGAGCTAAAATTAAGATAGAGCCAGACATGGTAGCACATGCCTATAATCCCAGCACTCTAGAGGGCTGAGGCAGGAGGGTCACTGTGAGTTTGAGACCAGCCTGGGCTACAAAAGTGAGCTCAAGACCCCCCTGAACTACATAGTGAGACCCTGTCTCAAAATAAATAAATAGGTAGAGGGGATAATACAGGATTGGTGGGAAGGACACTAAGAGAACCGTCCAGAAGTCCATCATCACCTCTCTCTATTGCTTGAGAAGTATAGACTGCTGTCTTGCATCAAAGAGCAGCTGGTGTGATGACGCCTCCTGACTTGATTTTGAGTAGCATGTACTTTTTGTTTTTTATTTTTTGATACCGGGGATTGACCTCACGACAACGTGCTTACCAGGCAGGTGCTTATGCAACTGAGCTAAATCCCCGGCCCTAGCACGTAGTTTTAAAAAAATCACCTACATGTGCTTTTTAAAAAATCTATTTTCATTATCAGGTAGGGCAAATTCTTTTTTTTTTTTTTTTCCATTCTCAGCTGGAATGGGATTAGATGCCAGTAATTTTAATATTAACTAGAATTCAGTTGGTTTTTCAGGGAAAATGTGATTTTTAAAAATCACAGAAAATATTGTAGGTCAGAATCTATTCATTCACTCAATAATTAATTACTGATTGTTTGTCTCCAACACTGAGGATGTAAGAATGGATGTAAGCCTATCCTTACCCTCCAGATATTTGTGGTCTAGAGAGGAGGACAGAGCAGACCAGTAGCAGCACAATGTTAAGTTGTAGGATATGAGTTTGCGAAGAGTATAGTACAACACAGAATAGGGTCTTAATGTAGCATTGGCAAATTCTGAGAAGGTTGTTAAGATAAATTAACAGTCTTAGTCCCAAAATGTGAGGTGGTGGAGGACAAGAGAGGGTATTCAGTCAGAGGGAGCAAAGGCCCAAAGAGTGAGCACAGCCATTTCAGGAAGGTATGAAGAATTATCTAACTTTTAGAAGTTACTGTTTTACTACCTCAAAGGGTTTTGCTATGTGGCCCAGGCTGGCCTTGAATTTGTGATCCACTTGCCTCTGCCTCCTGGGGACTGGGATTATAGATGTCTACCACCATGCTTGCTGACATATTGTCAATTATTGAGTCTTGATTGTGCTTGCTAGAGTTTAAAGATTTTATCTTGGAGCAATATTTCTCTCTTAAAATGAAGATACCACTTTTTGGGCATGATAGTCCATCCTATAATCTTAGCATTTGGGAGGCTGAGGCAGGAAGATCAGGCATTTGAAGCCATCCTGAATGATCCAGGGAAACCTTGTCACAAAAGAAAAGATACCAAAAATTGCACTTCCTGTTCAGAGATTCTAAGAAGAAAATGTAGATAAAACATGGTTTTTGAATTAGCAAACAATTGGTAATCCAGTGTTCAGTAAGAAAGAACATACCGTAGGGTGAGGTGGGTGTATCTGTAATCCCAGCCACTTGGCTGCAGAGCATTTGAAAGTTTGAAGGCCAGGGATATAGCTCAGCGGCATAAGCGCCTGCCAGGCAAGTACAAGGTCCTGAGTTTGATTTTTTAGTACCCCTTCCCAAAAAGGTTTCAGACCAAAAGCATCAAGATACTATCTCGGGGCCTGGGGATTTAGCTCAGCGGCATCAGCACCTGCCTTGCAAGCAGGCAGTCGTGAGTTCAATCCCTGGTACCGATAAAAAGGAAAAAAGACAAAAAAAAAAAAAAAAAAAAAAAAAAAAAAAAACCATCTCAAAATGAAAAAAATAAATAGAAAAAAAGGCAGTGCACAGTATATCCCTCTGTCATTCATCCAACTTTTAAAGCTGATTTTTTTTTTTTTTTTGTCTTTTGAGACAGGGTCCCACTATATAGCCCAGGCTGGCCTTGAACTCGAAGTGATCCTTCTGCTCCACTCTCATGAGCGCTGGGTTTACAGTCATGCACCACCATACCTGGCCTGAATCTGATTATGTTTTGCAGGTGTGTAGGTGTGCATGAAAATTTAGGATCTTTGTTTCACTGTTAAGGATGTTTGAGTTAGGAGGAAAAAGAGTTGAAGAACAATTGCTACTTTATGGCAGAACAAAAGAACTAACATTTAAATAGCTCATTTCTGTGATCCTACCTACTGAGCACAAATAAGACATAGTCAGGGATTTTGATTCAGAGACAGTTGCTTCAGTCAGACAAAGCATTTATTCGACATTATTCACTGTGTAAAACCTGCTATGTCCAGATTAAGAGCATCGATTTTTGTTTTTCTTTTTTTTGAGACAGGGATATAGCTGTTTTAAACAGAAAGGCTAGTGTATTCATTAAACAATACTGGGATTTTACCTAGATTAAAAGAGAAAAAAGTGATAAGCATGAAATAGGAAAGAACAAGCTTACAAAACGGCACATAAATTGAGCGATCCTTCTGGGCTGTGTCTTTGGTGACCTCCAGTAGCATTTGACATTGCCTCCTTGCACCTGAGCTTCACTTGTTTTTTAGGAAATGACTCCCGTGGCGGTCTTTCTACCTTCTCCCTCACCCCTTACTGTTTTTCCTTATCAGTAAAATATTCAGAGCAATCCTTGGATCCCTCCTCTATATTCATTTCCTGGGTGGTCTTTTTCAAGCCTTCAAACACCATATATAACCTGATTATTATTATTATTTTCAATTTTTTGTCTTTTTTTTTTTTTTTTTTTTTTTTGAGATGGGGGTCTCACTATGTAGTTCAGGCTGGCCTTGAGCTCACTTTGTAGCCCAGGCTGGTCTCGCAAACGATCCTCCCACCTCAGCCTCCTGAGTTCTGGGATTACAGGTGTGAGTCACCACGCCCGGCAACTGATTATTCTTGAGTTTGTACTTCTGGCTCAGTATCTTGCCCAGAAGTTGACACTTTTTTTCCCTGCTGTGCTGGGAGTAATTACAGCTCATCCCAAATTACTGTTTTGATCATTATTAATACATTTATGGAGATTTTTTTTTGGTACCGGGGATCAGTATCATGACCACACGCTTGCAAAGCAGGTGCTTATGCTGCTGAGTAATCCCTGGCCCTGAGATTTTTAAAACAAAATAATATTGAATATATACAAGGTCATATACCATATAATGTAGAGAATATCTCTGTATTATGAGTTAGATATTGTTCCTGTCTTCAGATTTCTCTCTTTTTCTTTTTGCGACAGAGTCTCATCATATAGTTAGTTCAGGCTGGCCTTGAGCTTACTTTGTAGCCTAGGCTGGTCTCAAACTCACAACAGTCCTCCTGCCTCAGCCTCCTGAGTGCTGGGATTATAGGCATGCACCACCACACCTTATCTTCAAATTTCTTGGAGCATACAAAATGCTATGCTCTCTAGCAGGATAAGTGCTACATAGGTCTGGCATTAGGGCAATAAGATCTGGTGTATAAGAGTGTGGATATCACCACAAACAACATTTTTGTTTGTCAGGCTTGCCAGTAGTTTGTACTCTTTCTGGAAGGGTAGAATTGATGATAGCATACTATATTACTGGCTTTTTAGGTTACAATTCCTGATTGGGCTTGCCTTGTTAGATCAGTTCTGTTTTTTTCATGAGTTTTATAAACATCCCATTTTTGTTGTTTATTCTTTTTATGTATTTTCTGTGTACCTTCTAACACAGCCACTGCATCTCAGGATTTGAGTTTACCAACTTTACACTCTCTTATATCTGACCGCACTGTTCTAGTAACTCTGGCCATCTGCTTACTAGCTGTGTGGTCTTGAGCCTCGCTGAAGCTCAGTTTCTGCACCTGTCATATGGAGATAATGACAAATGATACCCATCTTTCTTTTTGTGAGGATTAAATGATGAAAATATCAATTCCTAGAATCAGAGAGTGGAAAGAGGAAGAGGGTACAGGGCTGATCATATGATTTTTTTAGTAAATCCTATGTATCTCTGCCTAATTTGAAAACAAAGTTATATTTTCTTTTCTAATTTGAGTAATAAATATTGTACTTTATTTGTTCTTAAATATTGCATTTTATAAAACTATTTTAAAAACTAAGGCTTTAGTGCTAGGTAGTAATGCACACTTGTAATTCCAGCTACTCAAGGAGGCTGAGATGGGAATCCAGGAGTTCAAGACCAGCCTGGGCAACAGTTACCAATCTGGGCTCAGTCTCCAAAATGTTTGGCACATGCAAAGCATCATAGTCAGAAGCCAGTAGAATGTATGCCTTCACTAATTCTCTCCATCTACCCTGATCACATCAGGGTCCTAGAGCTTCTTCATAGTCTGTCTGATCTGGTACTTGTTGGCTTTGACAGCCACAGTGAACACAAGGGTGTTGTCTTCTGTCTTCATAATTGACTCCGTAGTCAGGGAAAGCTGCTGATGGTTTGTGAAGTTTGTTTTTCCTGGGGCTGCTGTTTTTGAGGGTAATTGGGTTGCCACCAGAGCTGTGTCTTGGGTTTTTGGCAGTTGGGTGATAGGCACATAGGCACTTTTTTTTTTTGGAAACAGGGTGTCTTTATGCAGTTAAGGTTGGCCCTGAGCCCACTTTGTAGCCTAGGCTGGTCTTGAACTCACAACGATCCTCTTGCCAGAGCCTCCCAAGTGTTTGAATTACAAGGCATGAGCCTCCATGCCTGGCAATAGCACATCTCTTGAGGGCTGTGGAAACTTCAGCAGTGCCTGCTTGCCGTTCAAAGCCTTTGCTTTGATTTTTGGCTTTGGGAAGGGCAGGAACTTCCTTTGTTTTAAGTACTGTTTTAGTGAAAAGGTTGTATATTGTTTATTAGGGAGATTTCTTTTTTTTTTTTTTGTCATTTTGAGACAGGGTCTCGCTATGCAGTTCAGGCTGACTTTGAGCTCAATTTGTAGCCCAGGCTGGTCTCAAATTCACAACGGTCCTCCTGCCTCAGCCTCCTGAATGCTGGGATTACAGGTGTGAGCCACCATGCCTAGCTTATTGGGGAGATTTCTAACAAATATTTCCCTGTCTGTCTACCCAGATTCTTACCTGTATTACATGAGGAGGTTGAAATACTAGAACCCCATCCCAAGTTACCTAGTTAGCTGATAGCTAAGTAGGAAAACTTCCATTTTCCTTTAGGTGAAATCGGAACTAATGAAGGAGTAATCATTGGGAAAAGTTCAGAGAAATTTACAATAGTAATGATGAGAACAATAATAGCAATGGCTAACTTTGATGAGCCATGAACACTTTATGTGAATTGTCTTACTGTAACATGACAAACACATGATGCTGACACTATGAAGAGCAGGCAGTGTTAAGACTAAGGTACACAGACTTTTGAAACAACTTAACACTGGCATCTTAACTCTGCCATTATTGACTGTGTAGCCTTGAACAAGAAAGCTCTGCCTCATTTTCCTCATCTGAATGTGTAAAATAAGGCTACTAATACGTACCTGCCTCATAAGGTTGTGTGACATTTAAGTAACATAGCCATTTAACTTAGCATAGGGCTTGGTACATAGAAAGTTCTTCCCAAATCTCAGCTGTTATAATTAAAATAGTTGTTCTTATTTAACAGATGGAAAAACAAAGGCTTAGACAGGGGTAATTTGCCTAAGTCACACAGCATATACATGTTGAAACCAGAGTTTTTCATGAAACTGGAGGAGTTTTACTCTTTTTTTTTTTTTTTTTTGTACTGTGGATCAAATTTATGACTTCATGCATGCCAGGCAGGTGCTTATCCACTAAACTAAATCCCTAGCCCTAGAGGTTGTACTCTTGAATGTTATACTGTGTCACTTAGGTTGAGGTAAAGAGATTGGGTGAAAATTCCATCTTATTGAATTTGAGGTGGGTGTTGGTATAAAGGACAGCTTTGCCTAGTTCTCCAGTAGGTTGAGGAAGGAGGATTGAAAAAAAAATTTTTTTTTTTTTTTTTTCTTTTTGAGACAGGGTCTCTCTATGTAGTTCAGGCTGGCCTTGAGCTCACTTTGTAGCCCAGGCTGGTCTCGAATTCGCAACGATCCTCCTGCCTCAGCCTCCCGAGTGCTGGGATTATAGGCATGAGCCACCCCACCCAGCTAATAAGGATTGAAAATTTGAGCCCAGCCTGGACAATTTAGCAATTTAGCAATTTATATTCAATTTATTTGAATATAAAAGATTAAAAAAGGGTTAGGAATGTGGCTCAGTGAGAAGGCCCTGGGGTAAGTCCCCAGTACCACATATACATACACAAAAGAACAATCTTAGGTTCTTACCTTCTTAACTTCATTTGTGATCTTAAGTGTTTTATCACTAAAGCGTGTACCTTAATTCTTTGAATTGATTCTTTCCTAGAGTCAAAGAAATTAATAGTGATAGATTAGTTATAGTCTTGTCCTGCCTTGGGACTTGTTCCCTAGCCAGGAAACAAGTAAACACATGTATCTTAGTTTTCTTTGAACAACAAATAGGAATCTTTCTGGTCTTTGCTGTTATTATGGTTATTTCTTTTCTTAATACAACTAGCAATATACATATTGAGAGCTTTCATGTTTTGTACTTTACATGGATTATATCATTTAATCCTTTTTTTAAAATTCTTTGAGACAGGGTTTCACTGTGTATTCTCGGCTGGCTGCCAACTCAAGATCCTCTTGCTTCAGTTACTGGGATTACAGGTGTGTGCCACCATTCCTTTATTCTTTTAATCCTTAAAATAACCTAATAGTTGCTCTTATTCTTGTTTTATAGAGCCAAAGAGGAGCTAGCAAACTTGCTTAAAGCCACTATGGTAAATGGTAGAGTTGGGATTGGAGTGAGTTGACCTGGTTCCAGAGTCCATGTGCTCTGGTACTTTTGATTTTTTCTAACCTATGTAATGTACAGATTGAGTATCCCTTAATTAAAATGTTTGAGGCAAGAAATGTTTGAGATTTTGGAGTATTTTGTCTGTATCTTTTGTTTTGTTTTGTCTCACTTTTTTTTGAGGCAGTGTCTCACTATGCAGTTCAGATTGACTTTGAGCTTGCCTAGGTATCCCAGGTTGGCCTCAAATTTACACCAGTCCTTTTGGCTCAGCCTCCCAAATTCAAGGAAACTGCAATATTTTAGATTTGGGAATATTTCCATAGATTTTTACCGGGTGATCATCCCTAATCTGAAAATCCAGACTCCAAAATGTAAAGCTCAAGAGTTGCTCAATTTAGTGGGAAATGATGACACATGCCTGATATCTCAGTATTCTGGGGAGCCTGAGGCAGGAGGATTATAAATTTAAGCTCAGCCTGTTTAACTTAGTGAGTTAGACCTATCTCAAAATAAATAAATATGAAAAGGAATGGGGATATAGTTCAGTGTGAAGATCCTAGGTTCAATCACTGTACCACAAACGAACCAACCAACCAAGTATAGTGCCTGTACAGGTTGAGCTATTTATTTTTGTTTTGTAGTACTAGAGAATGAACCCAGAGTCTTCACATGAGTTACATTTCCAGACCTTCTATTTTATTTTCACACAGTGTCTGTCCAAGTTTTCCAAGCTGGTTCAAACTTGTGATCTTCCTTCCTCAGCTTTCCAGAGAAGGTTATAAGCATCATCATCAGACTTGGCTAGCTGACTTAAGAGGTAGGGCCATTTTGTTTTACCACTACAAAAAAGGAAAACTTTGACCACTGGATTAGGAATAAGAAGCTCTGTGATCTGGTCTTGACCTTATCATCAGTTTATGTCCAGGTCTTCATTTTTCTTGTTGTCCTCACTTATTAAACAGAAGGAGTTGCTCTACAAGGTCTCAGAGGCCTCTTTGAACTCTGACATTCTGTGATCATAGCAAGTAAGACTAACACTTCTCAGCTTCTTGAGTTTGGAATGGTTGTATTTGTGAAGCCTTTAGAGTATCTTCTTCATATAGAGAAAATGCCAATTTCTAGGGCAGGAGAGGAGCTGCCTTTCTGAAGAAGGTAGGGCTGAGCTCTTTTTTTGAGGCTGGTTGCCAAGGGAACTCAGCCTGTGGTCAGCAACAGCCAGGAGTGTATTGGGAGAAGCTTGAGTATAGATGACTAAAACAATCAGGTTTCAGTCCCTGCTTTCCTCTAACCCTTCAACTACCTTTTCTTTTCATTTTCAGATAGCTAATTTTGAACACTTCTATCTGTAAATTTTAAATTTTTTAAAATTTTAAATTTAAAATCTGTTTAAATTTTTTTTTTGGTTTTAGTTACTTAAAGTATTATATAATTAATTTTCATAGAGATCTTATGGTAATAGAGGTTCTTTATTCATATTTACAGATAATATAACTGAAGTGAATACAGTATACTTTGGTCCATTTTTTACCCAAGTAGAAAACTATTAGGTGTACACTCTTAGCCACCATGCTATGTTGGCTAGGTAAATCTTAAAAAAAGACCAAAAAAAAAAAAAAAAAAAAAAAAGCAAAACAGGACTCTTCAGTAACTTATTAGTATTTGTTTGCTTGTTTTGTAATTGTTTTGAGTGGTAGACTCTTTGAGTTGGAAAGAGCCTTTGAGGTAATTTAATATAATCTTCTTGTCTCTAGAAATGCTTTCTGTTGTTTCCTTGACAGATGATCATCCAGATTCTCTTAGGATACCTCCAGTGATTGGGGAGTACATCACTTCTTGAAGATGTTATTATGTTGTTGAATAGCTCTCATCGGCAGAAAACTATTCTTCTTTTGATCTGAAATCTAATTGATACTTCTCATTAATTTGGGGTCTGTTCTCTGGAACCATGTAGGATAAATGCAACCCATCTTTTGCATGCCAATCTTGTGAACTTTTGAAAATAATCATCCTATTGACAAGGCATAGTTGCAGTTTCCTTGAAGCATCTGAAGCTGCTTTCAATTCAGATCAGTGTTCCCCAAAACAAGTTTTTATATGTGACTACTTTGCAATGCAGCCTAACAAAGCAGTGTTTTACTTACTGTAATTTTTTTTTAGGTACAAAGTGGGCCTTTTCCTACAACTTGGGGAAATGGATAATGATGTGCTAAGTCTTTACAACTGCATGTGAGTCTGGAGGGTTTGTAGTCTCCTAGTCTTGTAATTTCTAGGATAGCAGGCTGCTGTTCTGCATAGTACTCTGGTTAGAACTCACAAAATGGCTGGAAGTGTATCCGGGCACTTGATGAACTGCATTACTTCATCAGGCCACTAGGTGATGAACAACGCACAAACCCAGACTGTCAGGGACCCTTTTGTCCAGGACAGTTTCTGTTTGTAATTGAAAAGGCCGTTAGAAGTCACCTGGTACAACCCAATGAAAGGGTTTTTATGGGGGGTGGGTAAGGCAGAGAGGGGAAACATATTTCTAATATACTTTGTCTTTCTTGGGACTTTGTTCCAATTCTAAATATTAATTTGGCTGAGATATTTCTTTGATTTTCATAGTAGAGAACATGAGTAGAGTTTATGTTTTTAATTTTTAAAAAAAGTTTAAATTATTTTTTTTTTTGCAATACTGGGGATTGATCTCAGGGCTTTGCACTGAGCTATGTCTCCTGCAGCACCCCTCTTTTTTTTTTTTTTTTTTTGTGTTAATTTGAGATAGTCTCACTATTCATTAAATTGCCCAGGCTGGGCTTGAAGTTGCCATCCTCCTATCTCAGCCTCCCAGAATGTTGGGAATTCAGGTATGTGCAACCGTGGCCTGCCTAAACTAATTTTTTCTATTTATTTATTTATTAATTTTTGTCTTTTTGAGACAGAGTTTCATTATGCAGTTCAGGCTGGTCTTGAACTCACAACAGTCCTCCTGCCTCAGCCTCCCAAGAGCTGGGATAACAGGCATGTGCCACCATGCCTGGCTCTAAATTTATTTTTTAAGTGGTACATAAAAATACAAAAATTGAGGATTGTAAGCATTAGCCCAGGCTGGACAACCTAGTAAGACCTAGTCTAAGTATTCCTCAGACAAAGGGCTCATATGAAGAATGTATAGAAAGCTCAAAAAATCAGACCCTGCCACAAAATAAAAGACACAATAAAAAAAATGGACAAGTGAAATAACAGATACTTTTCAGAAGTACAAATGGCCAATAAATACAGGAAAAAAATACAAGAATTTTACCTATTTATGATGTGCCATACAGTGTTTCAGTACATGTGTGTATTGTATAATATTAAATATATATGTCCTCTTGAACATTTACGATATCTTTATGGTGAAAATGGTTAAAATTTTTTCCTGTAGCTTTTTGAAATATTATTGATATCGGTAATTACCCTATTGTGTAAATAGCATAATAGAACTTTGTGTGTGTGTGTGTGTGTGTGTGTGTGTGTGTTAGTGGAGATTGATCCCAGAGATTTCTCATGCTAGGCTAGCACTCTGTATCATTGAGTTATATGCCAGCCTTTTAAAAAATATTTAAGTTTGAGATAGAATTTTTCTAAATTGTCCAGGCTGGACTTGACCTTGTAATCCTCTTGCCTCAGCCTCCTGAGTAGCTGGGATTACAGGCATATGCCATATCTTTGGTTTTGGCAGAACTTACCACTTCTGTCTAGCTACTATAATTCGGTACTGGTTTACCAGCCTTTCTCCATATAGTACTCATCTTGCTAATCCTGGCCTCTGATAATCATTCTGTTTTCTGCATCCATGAGATCAACTTTTTTTATTTTTCATTTCCACATATGAGTGACTTCATGCAGTACTTGTCTTTATGTTTCTGGGCTTATTTCATTTAGCATAATGATCTCTGGTTCTGTTTGTACTGTTGCAAAAGACAGGATTTTTAAAAAGATTTAAAATAATTTAATTCTTTTTAATAACATTAGTATTCCATTGTATATATGATATATATTTTATCCTTTCATTAGTTGATAGATGCTTAGATTGTTTCCATTTTTTGATTATTGTGAATAGTATTTAAATAAATGTGAGGGTGCACATGTATCTTCTGTGTCCAATTTTTATTTTTTTATTATTTATTTTTTGGGTACTGGGGAATCAAACTTACAACCTCATACTTGCTAGGCAGGTGCTTGTGCTGCTGAACTATATCGTTGGCCCTATTTTATTATTTTTAATAGATACATGTTTGTACTACATGATATTTACATTTGTTTTGGGAAATTGGATATATATATATATATATATATATATATATATATATATGATTTTTATTTTTTTATTTTTAGTTTTTTGAGGCAGGATCTCATTAGGTAATCCAGGCTGGCCTTTAACTCACCATGTAGCTCAGGCTGGCTACATGTAGTCCTCCTGCCTTGGCCTCCTGAGTGCTGGGTACTTTTTATTTTTTGAGACAGGGTCTCGTTTTGTAATCTAGACAGGCCTGGATTCATGATCCTCCTACTTTATCTCCTTAGTCCATTTAAAAAATTTTTTTTCATGTATGAATGAAATCTTGATTTTGTTTAGCATTTGTTTGTTTGTTTTTGAGTCAGGGTCTTACCATGTAATTCAGGATGGCCTTGAACTTGAGGTGATCATCCTGCCTCAGCTTTCTGAGTGCTGTGATTACAGGTTTGGTCCATCATGGCTGGATCAATTGGGTTTAATGTTTTTAATACTAGTCCTACTCTATAGAAATAAGTGCTTTCCACTGTCTTGAGTTTCTGGTGCTTAAGCTAAGATGTCTAATCCCAATTGTACTCTTTTCCCTTTTGTAAGTAATAATTTATTCTCTGGACATGTGTGAATTTTTCATTTATGGCTAGAGTTTCACCATAGTATAGTAAGGTATATATATATATATATTTTTTTTTTTTTTCTTTTTCTTTTTTATCGGTACCAGGGATTGAACTCACGACCACACACCTGCAAGGCAGGCGCTTATGCCACTGAGTTAAACCCCCAGCTCCTAAGTATATGTCTTTTAAAGTAACCTTTCTGGGCTGAGTGTGGTGGTGCATTCCTATAATCCCAGTACTCAGTAGGCTGAGGTAGGAGGATTTCTGGGAGTTTGAGGCCTGCCTGGACTACAATTTGAGTTCAAGGCCAGCCTGAACTGCATAGTGAAACCCTGTCTTCAAAAAGACAAAACAATCAAAATAACCCATTTGGGAACTTGCTCAGCCATTCCACTTAATAACTTAAATCTATTCTCAGTTCAGGGATATTTTTTGCTTCCCTTCTGTTTCCACCCTCCTTACTTTTTAGGTGAAGAAACTGAAACTGAAAAGTAAAGTGACTTACCCAAAGTCATATAGCTAGTTATAAATGATCTTCAGGCAAATAACCTGACTCCTTTGATAAACTAACTTTTATTATGTTAATATTGTTTCAGTGACATGAGAAGGCTATTGTAAATAACTTGGAAGTTTTTTTTAGTGAGATAGGAATTTTGCCAAGCATTCATGAGGAGATGAAAAAGGAAGATGAGATGATAATACTTATTACAATTAAAATGTGGTCTATTTCAAGGATTGAAGAATTTACAATTTTCCTGGTATCCCAGTTATTGGAGCTACCCAAAGCTCTAAAACTTAATAAAATCAGAAATTGCTTAAGCACTCAGAGAATTAGATATATATTGTTTAGGAATTGGTAAGTGTTGTTATGGCCTGTTGTAAATATTAGTAAACATAAAGATGGCATCTGAAGGCTTGGGAGACAGACATCATAAACCATACCTTATCAGTGGTCTGGTTTCTGTTTTGAGTTCTAGCCTGGGACCCTTTTCTGGTGGGAACCACCTGTTCCTGGCTCTGTTGATCTTTGGATTTCCCCAGCCCTTCAGTCCTTTCAGTTTTGAATGAAACTTACCCCAAAGGGCGAGGTCAGGTCCTGAGAGGACTTTGACAGCTCACACCGGGTTTTTTTTTTTTTAACTCCTTTTTCTTTCAGGGTTGTCTGGTATGTGACTGTAAGAGGTGTGAGGCTCAGCAGGCTGTGATACAGACTAATTGATGGTGATTCAGCTGTTGCATAAGGCCTGGGCAGTGTCATTTCTTTGGGTAACCAGGAAACATGGCCAAAGACATTGGGTTTCATCCATAGACAGTTTAAAGTTAAGAGCATAGTCACCAGAGAGCTGATTATATTCTCTCTACCCTGAGTTTGCTGAAGAAAGGCTTTATTTCAGCTTCTCTCCTTATTTGTATATTTACTTCTTTTTTCAAATCTTTAGTTTCTTGATGTTGTGCTAGCTACTAAACCTTGACAATGTGTCTCCTAGGATTCCTGCTTTGTGAAGTGACTCACCTCTTCTAGGTACTATCCTCAACTAGGCTCTTCACAAAAAACAGTTGTGCTTTTTTTTGCTGTAAACCTGATTTCCACTAGATTCCATCTGGAATATTTACAAATGGAACTATGTCATTCTTCAGTTCATTACTGGTCACCTATGGCTTTATCTGTCTCCTAGCCACATTCCCTGGGATTCTAGATCTTCAAATATCTTTCCCCTTTTGAGACTTTTTCTGGCTAACAAGACCACGAGATCTTTCTCTTTGGAAATGGCATCTATATTCATTTCTCCTGTATTGATGACTTTTGGTGTCTGATCTTCCCTTCTGAGCCTGTGACCACAGTTGGGGGATTGATAAGTCTACAGCCAAGGATTCAGAATAAAGTGTGGAATTAACAGGGTCAGTATTAACATTTTCAGATGGGGGCTAATAACAAGCCAGTGAACGTCAAGGCCAGTGTTAGTGGGAGGGACAGAGAAGGTTTAGTGTCTGAAACAAAAGATGTTCTTTGTAGGCTGCCTCTTTACCTATTTTTTTTTGTTTGTTTGTTTTTGAGACAGAGTCTCACTATACAGTCCAGGCTGGTTTCAAACTCATGGTAATCCTCTTGCTTCAGCCCCACTGAGTGCTGGCATTACAGACCCATCAGCACGTCTGGCTAGTACTTTTTAATTTACAGAGAATTTTTTCTCTGTAATTACTTTTAGGAACTGGGGGTGTAGTTCAGTGGTAGAGTACTTGCCTAGCACTTGGGAGGTTCTAAGTTTGTTCTTCAGTACCACAATACAGCACACATACACATACACACAGAGAACTGTAATTTACAGAATGTATAGCAAATACAATTTTTA